AATTTATAGCAGTACAATTCAATCACTTTGAAGTTCTGCAACCGAAGATTGAATGACAATAGGCTGCACGTTTCTGATAATAAAAGATCATCAAAAGGGCAACGAACCTAGTAATGATCAACCAATTACATGCCTTCCAACAAGACTCAAACTCCTCACAGGAGTACATGCAAAATCAATATATAATTATTTAATTGAAAACTCCATATCCAACTGAACAAAAAGGGAACTTTAAAAAGTCAAGAGGCATGAAAGATCAGCTCCTTATTGATAAAACGATGCAAAAAGACAGAAAAGAAATCTTAACATGGCCTGGAAAGACTATAAAAAGACATTAGACTCATTGCCACACAACTGGATTAACACCTGCCTAAACATTTTTGAGATTAGTAAAAATATTCAGAAGTTCCTCAAAAAAACAAGGAAAAATGGAAAACTGGGTCTATGGTAAAGAAATTGGGGAAGTTAGCATCAAAGGAGGAATATTCCAAGAAGTTTCTTTGTCATCACTGCTGTTTAACGTTTCACTAATCCTTATGTCAATAATTTTAAATAAAACAGGACTGGGCTACCATATTTCAGAACAAGCAGAAAAAAATCCCAATTATCTGTTACACAAAGATTACCTATTAGACATGGGGTATTCATATTTGTCTCCCATTTTATGAAAGCTAAGAATGAAGGAATTAGTGTTAACAGCAAATGTCGCCTCTGCCGAGAAAAAGATGAAAGATGTGTATGTCACACCTCATCTGTGAATGTCCAAAGTTTGCACAAACAGATTACAAAATTAGACATGATAGAGTGGGAAATTTAGTGCATTGGTCATAATGCATCTCACTTGTGGATGAAACATACCTCAGTGGTCCCCATCATCACTGGGGCTTTGGGAACAAAATCAAGAAATTTCACACAGTATTATAAGCAGTTGCAGATTCCAGAAATAGCATCAACAAAGCTTTAAAAAATGGCAATATTAGGAACAACATACATACTATATCGATATTAAACAGATACTTATGGTTTTTTTTAAAAAGAACAACTTGTATCTGTTATAGAATACCAGTCAATGTTGTGGATGAAACATACCTCAGTGATCCCCATCATCACTGGGGCTTCGGGAACAAAAGCAAGAAATTTCACACAGTATTATAAGCAGTTGCAGATTCCAGAAATAGCATCAACAGAGCTTCAAAACACGGCAGTATTAGGAACAGCATATATACTACGTCAATATTTAACAGATAGTTAGTTTTTTTTTAAATCGAAACTTGTATCTGTTATGTAATACCAGTCAATGTTTTTATAATTTTGATTGACTGCCTGGCATTTTTGGGGAAAAAAATAACTAAATAGTAATAATTTGGCCACCACACAGGCAGAAAAACTCAACTCTCTCAGACTGTTAAGACCATTAAACTGCAAGATGGTGTTCAGAAGATGGCTTTTAAGGACATCCAGATTTCAGGTAAATGTCAACCTGCTCCATGGTACTGTTTTACTTCTATCCATGCTGATTTTAACTATTTTTAATGCATCTATTCAATTTTAATGGCTTCCCAGGGGGGTTAGTTATATGATTTAAAGTTAAATATCGTTTATCCATTTTTTTATTCTTTTAAGAACATTGTAAGCTGCCTTGAGCCTTGTGGGCTTGGGCAAGCGGCACAGTCCCAGGATGCTCCCAGAAGAAGGGAATAGTAAATCACTTCTGAGTATTCACTACAGGTACTTGGAAAACCCTGAAAAAGAACAGCCGTAAGTTGGAATTGGCTTGAGGGCACATGCAAAAAAATGTAATAAATAATAATAAACCAGAGAACCTATTTTCATTTATTTACATACAAAGCACATTTATAAAATAACAATTTCTGAACTTTTCCCAATATAGCTTTGAAACTGAAGTCATCTTTCCCACCGCCCACTGCACAGCATGGTGCCTAATTAGAGTATCAATCTTCACTTGTTTTTGTAGATCTTCACTTGCAGATGAGAACAAATGCTTTGTCCCCATTAGGGCATTTTTCACATTTTAGAATTTTTGTGTGTGTAAAATTCACAGAAGTGGTTTCTGTACAAAACCTTTTTTTAAAAAAAAACCTTGTATTTAGCACAAAATATAGGGATTTGACACAAAATATAAGCTTTCTTAAAAGCAAACATCACGCCATGCTGCTGTTGAAAAAAAAGTCTTGTTCTTTTTGCTGTTGTGCAAAAGTAAAACATCTTACAAAGCTGGACATTTTTTTTTCATTGAAGCTGTGAAAATATCTAAATATTCCATATCTTTTCAGAGCACAACACTTATCCTCTACTTTGGATGCTAAAAGGACAATGTGGAAAATACAGTGGCAACCCACACTTCACCCCAAAAGAGGCCACTAAGTTGCATAAAAACTCCAAATGTTCCTTTGAAGTTATGGTGTAAAGTTAGAAGTTATTCTTATTCTCCTTAAAGGAGAATTATAATATGTCTCATCCAAGTGAGGAAGACTAATTGTGTGCCCACTGAGTCTGCTGCCCATTTGCTTCTGGTGGACAAGTAGTAATTTCAAGGATCCTGATCTCCCCTTTTCTCCTTCTTTAA